TTTCGGGGACCCATAGAACTCTGGCCTGGCGCAGCAATGGGAGGCCCGTAATCTGCCAGCACCCTATAACAAATGGAACACACCGGGCCTGGCTAGCAGCAATGGGAGGCCCGTAATCTGCCAGCACCCTATGACAAAATGGAACACACCAGCAGTGTGAGGAGACCTGAAAGTGGCACATGGCAGAGTGTGGCGATGGAGACAGCAGCAATGGGAGGCCGTACAGGGACCCATGAGACACTCTGGACCTGGCAGCAGCATGAGGAGGCGGTACGGGGGCCCATGGCAGATTACGGGCCCTGGCAGCAGCAATGGGAGGCCCGTAATCTGCCAGCACCCCCTATGACAAAATGGAACACACCAGCAGTGTGAGGAGACCTGAAAGTGGCACATGGCAGAGTGTGTGGCGATGGAGACAGCAGCAATGGGAGGCCGTACAGGGACCCATGAGACACTCTGGACCTGGCAGCAGCATGAGGAGGCGGCGGTACAGGGGCCCATGGCAGATTACGGGCCTGGCAGCAGCAATGGGAGGCCCGTAATCTGCCAGCACCCTATGACAAAATGGAACACCACCAGCAGTGTGAGGAGACCTGAAAGTGGCACATGGCAGAGTGTGGCGATGGAGACAGCAGCAATGGGAGGCCGTACAGGGACCCATGAGACACTCTGGACCTGGCAGCAGCATGAGGAGGCTGGTACAGGGGCCCATGGCAGATTACGGGCCTGGCAGCAGCAATGGGAGGCCCGTAATCTGCCAGCACCCTATGACAAAATGGAAACACACAGCAGTGTGAGGAGACCTGAAAGTGGCACATGGCAGAGTGTGGCGATGGAGACAGCAGCAATGGGAGGCCGTACAGGGACCCATGAGAGACTGGACCTGGCAGCAGCATGAGGAGGCGGTTACAGGGGCCCATGGCAGATTACGGGCCTGGCAGCAGCAATGGGAGGCCCGTAATCTGCCAGCACCCTATGACAAAATGGAACACACCAGCAGTGTGAGGAGACCTGAAAGTGGCACATGGCAGAGTGTGGCGATGGAGACAGCAGCAATGGGAGGCCGTACAGGGACCCATGAGACACTCTGGACCTGGCAGCAGCATGAGGAGGCGGTACAGGGGCCCATGGCAGATTACGGGCCTGGCAGCAGCAATGGGAGGCCCGTAATCTGCCAGCACCCTATGACAAAATGGAACACACCAGCAGTGTGAGGAGACCTGAAAGTGGCACATGGCAGAGTGTGGCGATGGAGACAGCAGCAATGGGAGGCCGTACAGGGACCCATGAGAGACTCTGGACCTGGCAGCAGCATGAGGAGAGGTAGGCGGTACGGGGGGCCCATGGCAGATTACGGGCCTGGCAGCAGCAATGGGAGGCCCGTAATCTGCCAGCACCCTATGACAAAATGGAACACACCAGCAGTGTGAGGGACCTGAAAGTGGCACATGGCAGAGTGTGGCGATGGAGACAGCAGCAATGGGAGGCCGTACAGGGACCCATGAGAGACTCTGGACCTGGCAGCAGCATGAGAGGAGGCGGTACGGGGGCCCATGGCAGATTACGGGCCTGGCAGCAGCAATGGGAGGCCCGTAATCTGCCAGCACCCTATGACAAAATGGAACACACCAGCAGTGTGAGGAGACCTGAAAGTGGCACATGGCAGAGTGTGGCGATGGAGACAGCAGCAATGGGAGGCCGTACAGGGACCCATGAGAGACTCTGGACCTGGCAGCAGCATGCATGAGGAGGCGGTACAGGGGCCCATGGCAGATTACGGGCCTGGCAGCAGCAATGGGAGGCCCGTAATCTGCCAGCACCCTATGACAAAATGGAACACACCAGCAGTGTGAGGAGACCTGAAAGTGGCACATGGCAGAGTGTGGCGATGGAGACAGCAGCAATGGGAGGCCGTACAGGGACCCATGAGAGACACTCTGGACCTGGCAGCAGCATGAGGAGGCGGTACAGGGGCCCATGGCAGATTACGGGCCTGGCAGCAGCAATGGGAGGCCCGTAATCTGCCAGCACCCTATGACAAAATGGAACACACCAGCAGTGTGAGGAGACCTGAAAGTGGCACATGGCAGAGTGTGGCGATGGAGACAGCAGCAATGGGAGGCCGTACAGGGACCCATGAGAGACTCTGGACCTGGCAGCAGCATGAGGAGAGGCGGTACAGGGGCCCATGGCAGATTACGGGCCTGGCAGCAGCAATGGGAGGCCCGTAATCTGCCAGCACCCTATGACAAAATGGAACACACCAGCAGTGTGAGGAGACCTGAAAGTGGCACATGGCAGAGTGTGGCGATGGAGACAGCAGCAATGGGAGGCCGTACAGGGACCCATGAGAGACTCTGGGACCTGGCAGCAGCATGCAGGAGGCGGTACAGGGGCCCATGGCAGATTACAGGGCCTGGCAGCAGCAATGGGAGGCCCGTAATCTGCCAGCACCCTATGACAAAATGGAACACACCAGCAGTGTGAGGAGACCTGAAAGTGGCACATGGCAGAGTGTGGCGATGGAGACAGCAGCAATGGGAGGCCGTTTACAGGGACCCATGAGACACTCTGGACCTGGCAGCAGCATGAGGAGGCGGTACGGGGGCCCATGGCAGATTACGGGCCTGGCAGCAGCAATGGGAGGCCCGTAATCTGCCAGCACCCTATGACAAAATGGAACACACCAGCAGTGTGAGGAGGAGACCTGAAAGTGGCACATGGCAGAGTGTGGCGATGGAGACAGCAGCAATGGGAGGCCGTACAGGGACCCATGAGAGACTCTGGACCTGGCAGCAGCATGAGGAGGCGGTACAGGGGCCCATGGCAGATTACGGGCCTGGCAGCAGCAATGGGAGGCCCGTAATCTGCCAGCACCCTATGACAAAAAATGGAAACACACCAGCAGTGAGGAGACCTGAAAGTGGCACATGGCAGAGTGTGGCGATGGAGACAGCAGCAATGGGAGGCCGTACAGGGACCCATGAGAGACTCTGGACCTGGCAGCAGCATGAGGAGGCGGTGGTACAGGGGCCCATGGCAGATTACGGGCCTGGCAGCAGCAATGGGAGGCCCGTAATCTGCCAGCACCCTATGACAAAAATGGAACACACCAGCAGTGTGAGGAGACCTGAAAGTGGCACATGGCAGAGTGTGGCGATGGAGACAGCAGCAATGGGAGGCCGTACAGGGACCCATGAGAGACTCTGGACCTGGCAGCAGCATGAGGAGGCGGTACGGGGGCCCATGGCAGATTACGGGCCTGGCAGCAGCAATGGGAGGCCCGTAATCTGCCAGCACCCTATGACAAAAAAATGGAACACACCAGCAGTGTGAGGAGACCTGAAAGTGGCACATGGCAGAGTGTGTGGCGATGGAGACAGCAGCAATGGGAGGCCGTACAGGGACCCATGAGAGACTCTGGACCTGGCAGCAGCAGCATGAGGAGGCGGTACGGGGGCCCATGGCAGATTACGGGCCTGGCAGCAGCAATGGGAGGCCCGTAATCTGCCAGCACCCTATGACAAAATGGAACACACCAGCAGTGTGAGGAGACCTGAAAGTGGCACATGGCAGAGTGTGGCGATGGAGACAGCAGCAATGGGAGGCCGTACAGGGACCCATGAGAGACTCTGGACCTGGCAGCAGCATGAGGAGGCGGTACGGGGGCCCATGGCAGATTACGGGCCTGGCAGCAGCAATGGGAGGCCCGTAATCTGCCAGCACCCTATGACAAAATGGAACACACAGCAGTGTGAGGAGACCTGAAAGTGGCACATGGCAGAGTGTGGCGATGGAGACAGCAGCAATGGGAGGCCGTACAGGGACCCATGAGAGACTCTGGACCTGGCAGCAGCATGAGGAGGCGGTACAGGGGCCCATGGCAGATTACGGGCCTGGCAGCAGCAATGGGAGGCCCGTAATCTGCCAGCACCCTATGACAAAATGGAACACACCAGCAGTGTGAGGAGACCTGAAAGTGGCACATGGCAGAGTGTGGCGATGGAGACAGCAGCAATGGGAGGCCGTACAGGGACCCATGAGAGACTCTGGACCTGGCAGCAGCATGAGGAGGCGGTACGGGGGCCCATGGCAGATTACGGGCCTGGCAGCAGCAATGGGAGGCCCGTAATCTGCCAGCACCCTATGACAAAATGGAACACACCAGCAGTGTGAGGAGACCTGAAAGTGGCACATGGCAGAGTGTGGCGATGGAGACAGCAGCAATGGGAGGCCGTACAGGGACCCATGAGAGACTCTGGACCTGGCAGCAGCATGAGGGAGGCGGTACAGGGGCCCATGGCAGATTACGGGCTGGCAGCAGCAATGGGAGGCCCGTAATCTGCCAGCACCCTATGACAAAATGGAACACACCAGCAGTGTGAGGAGACCTGAAAGTGGCACATGGCAGAGTGTGGCGATGGAGACAGCAGCAATGGGAGGCCGTACAGGGACCCATGAGAGACTCTGGACCTGGCAGCAGCATGAGGAGGCGGTACAGGGGGCCCATGGCAGATTACGGGCTGGCAGCAGCAATGGGAGGCCCGTAATCTGCCAGCACCCATATGACAAAAATTTAAATGGAACACACCAGCAGTGTGAGGAGACCTGAAAGTGGCACATGGCAGAGTGTGGCCGATGGAGACAGCAGCAATGGGAGGCCGTACAGGGACCCATGAGAGACACTCTGTGACTGGCATGCAGCATGAGGAGGCGGTACAGGGGCCCATGGCAGATTACGGGCCTGGCAGCAGCAATGGGAGGCCCGTAATCTGCCAGACCCTATGACAAAAAAAATGGAACACACCAGCAGTGTGAGGAGACCTGAAAGTGGCACATGGCAGAGTGTGGCGATGGAGACAGCAGCAATGGGAGGCCGTACAGGGACCCATGAGAGACTCTGGACCTGGCAGCAGCATGAGGAGGCGGTACGCGGGGCCCATGGCAGATTACGGGCCCTGGCAGCAGCAATGGGAGGCCCGTAATCTGCCAGCACCCTATGACAAAATGGAACACACACACAGCAGTGTGAGGAGACCTGACAGTGGCAAGGCATGGCAGAGTGTGGCGATTGGAGACAGCAGCAATGGGAGGCCGTACAGGACCATGAGAGACATCTGGGACCTGGCAGCAGCATGAGGAGGCGGTACGGGGGCCCATGGCAGATTACGGGCTGGCAGCAGCAATGGGAGGCCCGTAATCTGCCAGCACCCTATGACAAAATGGAACACACCAGGCAGTGTGAGGAGGACCTGAAAGTGGCCAACATGGCAGAGTGTTTTGATCGGCGATGGAGACCAGTCAGCAAAGGGAGGCCGTAAACAGGGAACCCAATGGGGCAATGTGGCGATGGAGACAGCAGCAATGGGGGGTACAGGGCCCATGAGGCTCTGGACCGGCAGCGCATGAGGGGGCGGTACGGGGGCCCATGGCAGATTACGGGGCCGGGCAGCAGCAATGGGGGGGCCTGTAATCTGCCAGCACCCTATGAAAAAATGGACACACAGCATGTGGGGAGCTGAAAGTGGCACATGGCAGAGTGGGCGTGGGGGGCAGCACAATGGGACCCGTAGGGGACCCAGGGGAAAATTGGGCCTGGCAGCAGCATGGGGAGGCGGTACGGGGCCCGGGCAGATTCGGGGCCTGGCAGCAGCATGGGGGGCCCCGTAATCTGCCAGCCCCCCTTGACAAAATGGAAACACCAGCAGTGTGGGGAACCTGAAATGGCACAGGCAGAGTGTGGCATGGAGCAGCACAATGGGAGGCGTAAGGGACCATGGAGACTCTGGCCCTGGCACGCATGGGATGCGGTAGGGGGGCCCATGGCAGTTTACGGGC